AGCTGTTTGGGTCATGTTCAATTCTTCATGACCCATTGTGGGATTTTCTTGGCAAAGATACTAGAGTGGTTTGCCATTTCCTTCTCCAGTTCATTTTACAGATGAAGAAACTGAGGCAGATGTGTTAAGTGACTTGCCCAGGGTCACACAGCTAGTAAGTGTCTGAGGCCAAATTTGAACTCAGGAAGATGAATCTTCCTGACTCTAGGCCCAGCATTCTATTTACTGTACTACCTAGCTGCCCTGTTTATAGCAAGAGATACAAGAAAAGCCTTTGACAGAGTACACTATTAATTCATATATCTGTGTGTATACATATATACACATACATGTATACACACATGTATATGTGTATACATATATATTACAAAGCACAGGCAAAGAAGGATCTTTTTTTAAAAAATAATAATTCAAATGGCTGTCTAAAACTAAAGGCATTCATTATATGCATTGGGGAAATATTAGAAGCTTTCCTCACAAACAAAAAATAATGTAAATATGTCCCTGTTATCAGACTTTATTTTAGCAATGCTATCAGTAGCAATAAGAGAATGAGCATTTAAACCTACTGTGTGCCAAGCACCATGCTAAGCTCTATATAAATATTTTCTTATTTGAGTAAGATTAGAGTAAGAAATTAAAGGCAGAAAGAAAACAAAACTAAAATCATAGGAAATTAGCAGAGACTGATTAAGATTATTACTAGCTTCAATAGTTTTGCGAATTACAAAATGAACATCCTAAAATCAATAGCATTTCTATATAGCAATAAAATCTAAGGTGGAATAATAGAAAGGGAAGTCACATGCAAAATAACTACAAAAATGAACAAAATATTTGGGATTCAATCTCCCACAGTATACTCTATATTTGTGCTCCTTAAAGAAATAAAGAACAGCTTAGATAATTGGATGGATGGATGGATGGATAGATGGATATTCAGTGATCATGGCTGGATATAATGATAAAAATGACAGAACAACTGAAGTTATTATATAGATTTAGTGCTATGCCAAAATACCAACATGATGCTTTATAGAACTAGGCAAGATTCCTTTGTAAGCACAAAAAATCTAGATATAATGAAAGAAAAGAAGGAATGAAAGGTGAATTGTATTTCCAAGTTTCAAATTATATAGCAGTTATTCTTCAAATTATTTGGTACTGGTTAAAAATAGGAAAACAGATCAAAGGAACGGGAGGAATAAAGGAAGAATCAAAAAACTCAACAACTCAATGTTTCATGAAACCAAAAAACAAAAATGTAGGTACCACCAAAAAAAATCAGTAGAAATCCTTTCAAAAAGAAAAGAAAATTTACTATGGACCTCATTATATAAGCTTGATATCTGACTTTGAAATAACAATATGAATTGTTGGGTGTTTATTTTAGTAGCCTATGTCATCATAATATCTGAGGTATAATATTACCTAGAAGAGTATTCTCTTTTTTGCCACTGACTGATTTTGCTGCTCTCTGTAGCTAACTCTTTCTCTCTCTACTTCTCCACCTCTTCCCCCCACCCCCTAGTTCTCTGGTATACTCTGTTATTCTCTTTGTCTCACTCACTTTTGTGCATACTTCGTGTTCTTGTTATTCTCATGCTTTCTGTCTGGCTCACTTGCTCTCTGGCTGTAAGCTCACTTACTTTCTGGCTCACTTGCTCTCTGGCTCTAGCTTACTCCCTTTCTGGCTTACTTGCTTCTTCTCATCTTTCCCTCTTTTCCTCCCTTCTAAAAGAGCAAAAGAAAAAAATTGTGGCATAATGCATATACTTGATTTACAGATTTACTCTTTAAAAATCAATATAATTAGTTTGAGATCACGGATGCCAAACAACTAGTATGATTTTTTTTTCTCTTCTCAGTTAGCCGTTTAGCTCCCCTTAGAAACAGACATTGGTAAAATGAAATCCTACAAAAAGCTGGCTTGATAACTGGCTACTTATGAATGAGGCTCTGGGGACTTTTCTCTCCAACTTCACATAGACTAGCAGGATGGATCTCCAAAGCATAGCTAGTGCTTTTATTCTTTCTGTTCTAGGGGTTACTGTGAGAGGTTGGGAGTGATTTTCCACTACTGTTGTTCATAAGCATCCAGTGTATTCACCTTGATATCAGTCAACCAATTATCACCTCCTCAGTATTAACTGACAAGTTAAACATCAATTAGCTTTTGCAAAGAGATATATTTACTGAGAAAATAGAGCAAAAAAGCAGAGTACTACAGAAATCTCCCAAGTTAGGAGCACCCTCCTTTGCCAACTTGGTTTCTTAGCTCAGACTAAGTAGTTGCTATAAAACATTTCCTCCATCAAGTTCACTTCTGGGTGTTGCATAGGCAACAGACATGTCATTCCCTTGCTTGCAGGACACATTTTCTCAGCTACTGGATCAGTTTATTGCTAGGCTTGGTTAAACAAGTCATTCCCCAGAACTGGCTTCTTACCTGGTTCAGCTGCTGCAAGCTGCTGGCACACACTGCTGTGGACTCCACCTGGTCAGCCTCTGGTGGCTCTTTTAACTTTTCAAAAGCCATAAGGTCATCTGATCTGTTCTATCCCAGATATACTGAGGTTTAAAAAGAATAAATACAAACAAAAGAGACAGAGGTGATATTTACCAAGGATTCACAGCCAAGCAGCAACCGAGTGAGTACGTAGGGCAACTGGTAGTAGGGTGCTGCCACTTCTGCTACTTCTGCCTTTCTGTACACCCAGAGGCTTACATCAGGTCTGACTTTTGTCATTGTCTTGGAAGAGAGAGAGATCTCATTGGCTCTATAGCCTCTAGAGTGCATACTGAGTTTTGTCCGTACAGCAAATTAAAAGTTTTTTCTTCACTTACATAGTAAGCCATCTGAAAATAGTCAAGATACCCATGCATAGTCTGAATTGGTAGGGAGAGGGACCCTCCATCACAGATTTCTAGATGCATGCTCACTGAGCCTGCAGTTGGTTTGGCAATAGGTAGATACTAGGTATGCTCTAAGGAGTGAGCCCGTATTGGCCAGTTCCCACATTACATTCTTCCCCTCATTAAAACATTTACCGTCTTCATCAGATCAGCCAAGGGGCTTTTTGAAAAGTCTGTACCCCACTCCACAACAGTTCTCTAGGGTCTGTAGAGGTATAAGTATTGTCATTTCATTTGTAGTACAGATCTTATGTGGTCTCACACATAAAGGTGAAAATCACAATTATTCCCAAATAATCACACAGAATTATGCAGATTCAGCAAGCAAAAAAAAAACCTGACAAAGTTTGAAAAATGTTACAGCTTGCTTAGTAATAAGGGAATGTCTTGGTGTTTGAAATGGCCTTCCCTGACCTAAAGATAATAAAGGGAAAAAAAAGTCACAGAAAATCCAGCTTCCTGCCTTCGAGGGAAAGCTAGTCCCTGCAGCGCTTGGAAGAACATGTGGTAGTCTTCCCAGAGGGAATTGGGAACTAGAGTCAACTGGAAGTCATCCCAGGTACAAAACCAAATCTCCTTGGTTTGGTGTTTGTGTAGTATAATCAAATGCTGCTCCAATACACTCATCCTCTCCCTCTTTCACTAAAGAGATCTTGCACTCTGGATCTACCTCCAAACTTGCGTTTAAACCTGTTAACTCTTTCTGGGTCCCAGAAGCAACATAGAACGTCTACATTTTGTCTTCAAGGATCTCTGAAACACATAAAAAATCCAGCTGGACATCTGGACAAAGTCCAGTATCTTTACCATAGGCCTTGAAGATCTAGGAAAATTTCCTTTGAGTCCCCATGGGCACCAGAAATTTCCCCACTGGAATTCCCAACTGACTAACAAATTCAATTTGAGAGGGATAAACAAGCTCAGCTTAAGAGGAAAGAAAACACGATCAAGTAAGCCCTGAAGAGGTAGGGTACTCCTCAAATGGCTTAAGCACTTGGGGTCGATCACTTCAGATTTCTAGACTAACAGGCAAATCTTCCCCTATTGACTTTAAAGTCTATAAAGGTTTAGGCAAGCGGTCCTGCTCTTTTTTTAAAGCAAAAGGAAAATTGAACATTTATGACTTAGGAATCAATATTTTTAGGGAGGCAAAATCCACGCTTCTTATATTAGCTGCAGTATTTCTACTTGCCACAGTAATAGAACAGATAACAGTATGTAAGTATTCAAATAAGCAATAGTTATCAGAGAGAAACTGGTCTGATTTGTCAGGAAACAGACCAGAAAACCTACTGTACCAATCCAGAGAGTCCCAGGTAGGAAATCTCCCCAGTGGGTCCCAGCATGGACTCTGTGAATACTATCCAACACTGATTCGAATTTGCAGGCTGGTTCACCAGAACAGACCTAGCTACTTCTCCCTGAGGTAACCCTGAGAGGTTGGGAAGACTCTTTAATATTGTTACTCACAATCTTCCATCCAGTGTGCACATGCTCTAAGGACTGGGTCTTCATTGGCCAATATCTTGACTACAACTGAAAGAATGAATAAATGAATGAAGAAGTATTTAGCACTTATTATGTGTCAAGCCAAGCACTGGGGATACAAGTAGAAAACATGAGATAGTCCTTGTTTTAAAGGTACTTATCCTTCAATTGAGGGACACAGTACATATAAGTTTAGCTGTAGTACAGATGGAATAGCTCAGATATCTTAATGGTGCAGTAACAAGTAAAGATGGCAATCTTCATGGGTCTTAGGGGTATATTGGCAGAGTTTGTGGTAAGATCTGGAGGATTTTAGGACACAATGGTAGAGTAGACAATAAGGCCCGGCACCCCTCCATCTCACAAGAAGGCTTGAAGCTGGTAAGTCCCAGCTCTTCCCAAGTGGTATGAACAGCCATGTCATTCCTTCCACTTGCTCTGGGTGGCCAGGGTTATTTGGGAATAGGCCAAGGGAAGGCATGGGAGAGGCTTCCCCCCATGTCCCCACTTATAATAACTGATAATTTATGTATTTAATTTTGAGTAAGACTCCCCAGAATTACTCTGGAGTAACTTTCTGTTTTCTTTCCCCCTAGATATCATAATGACAGATGAGTATGATGACAGCTTATCATTGCCATTCAAGATTAGCATATGAAGAGAAGCCTGAACTTACCTGACTGAAATGAGTGGCAGTGATCCTGGTCCAGATTCTCAATGAGAAGTACCTTTGTGGCTATGCTAGATATATTTCTTTCCAGATTCAGATTATCTGTTAAAAAGTTTTCATCTTTTCCTTTTGGTCTGTTAAATAAGTTTCTTCTCTTTAGCATGCTGTTACAGGATGCCATTTGCTTTGAAAAGGAAAACTGAATTTATGTGTAGCTGAATTTGGAAGGTGATATCACTGTGCACCAAACCAAAAGATGTTTGCTTATGGAGTCGGCACTGGGTAGTTATGTAAGGTCCTTTGTTTTTGGTGTCTGCTTAATAAATATATTAAGTAGTTTTTCAAAGGTAGTTCTTGTTCTGTTTGGATTAAAAGTACCAAAGTCTTGAAGCATTGGAAATGAAAACCCTTTTATTACAAGCTATTTTTAACTGAACCTAATTGAAACCACATGAGTGGGAGACCTAATTCCATTTCTGTCTGACTCCAAAGAAATTCTACCCCCATAGCTCAACAAAGCAAAGAAAGTAGAACACATACTAAGTGATAATGAAATGCAAAATACTCTCTACATTGTATCACTCCAAACAAGCTCATATTGACTGATTTTGCAACTTAACTCTTTGATAGTACTCTCACAGAACATTAATAGTATTTAATGATACAGAGTACATTTATGTAAGTGTTTACATCAACTCACCCCAACAGTTTTCCTAATACAGAAATACAAAACGGAACACAGGGATCAATTGTCTAGTTGCGCATGTGGAAAAGAAATTATAAAATCAATAAATATTGATCTCTGAGGGGAAGTGAAATAGATAATTTTTAAAGTATGCAGTACTAAGTAGTTGAAGCTTCTGAAATGTCTATAAGCCTTTAATAAATACATGAAAGGAAATTACTTCATCTGATTATAGAAATGACAACCATTGTGTAATTGCTTTCAGATAGGGGAAAGTTGTCAGGAAATGTACCTGTAGGTCTTCAGTGATAGACGCCTACACTATTCAGACCTTCTGATGCCTAATGTTCAGTTAATCAGAAAGCACTTTTTAATTGAGTGGCATTGTACTAGTTACTATAGGGGATATAAAAGTAGAAGAGGCATTTAAAGGCAATAAGAAGGTTTACTCTGGAAAGAAGAAAGATATGGTTGTTTTCAAGTAAGTATTAAAGAACTATCATGTACATGGAGAATTGTGCTTATTTTTCTCAGCCCCAGAGGGCATAACTAGGACCAGTAGTAAATACCTATAGAGATGTTAGAGTCAAATGTTAGCTCAATATTAAGGAAGAATTCCTCAACAGCTACAGCTATCCAAAAATGAAATGTGTTGTCAGGTCACAGAATCACATAATTTGAAAGTTGTAAAAGACGTTAGCAGTCATCTAATACAACCCACACAGAAAACAAGTCTCTACTATAATATATTCAGCCATTGTCCAGCTCCTGCATGAAAATTTCCATAGATGAAGAGCCCTCTCTCCACCTCTGTAGATCTCATTCTACTTTTGGACAGCTCTAATTGTTAGGAAGGTTTTCCTGACATTGAGCCTAAGTTTGCCTCTTTCCATCTCTCACTTCTTGCTCTTGGTTTTGCTTTCTGGGGCCAAGTGGAACAAATTTAGTCCTTTCTCCACACATTAGACTTTCAGATGCTTGAAGATAGCTACCATGTGCCCCCTGCATCTTCTTTTCTTTTTTAATTTTTATTCATTTTGAACTTAAAAAGACCAAAAAAAAAAAAGTAAGAACATTCCCATGTACACAGCACAACATAAAAAGAGAATTCAATATAAAACCATAAATTTTCCATTTCACACTGTTTATCTTTTTTGGGAAGTGAAAACTATCTAATAAATACTACTCATCATTTTCGAAGCTATCCTGCTTTTCTGTGCTTCCTTCAAAATTTTCTTTTGTTCTCTGCTGTGAACTTTTTTTCCTCCCTCCCCACCCCAAGCTAGAGAAGGCCACTATTAGATACAAAAATGTATATATATGTAAAACCATACTATATATACTTCTATTTATCACTTCTTTCTGTAGATCTGGATAGCATTTTCCTTTATAGGTCCTTTGTAGTTGATTTGAGTATTTATAATAGCCAAAATGACTTAGTCACCCAAAGTTGTTCTTAGAACAGTATTGCTGCTACTGTGTACAGTTCCTCTTGGTTCTGCTCATTTCACTCTTCATTATTTCATGAAAGTCTTTCCATGTTTTTCTAACATCAATCAGCTCCTCATTTATTATAGCACAGTAGTATTCCATCACAATCATACACTATAACTTGTTTAGCCATTCCATAACTTGTGTAGCCAATTGATGAGCATCCCCTCAATTTCCAGTTCTTTGACACCACAAAAAACTGCTATAAATATTTTAGAACATGTACGCTCTTTTCCCTTTTCCCTAATCACCTTGGGAAATAGACCAAATAGTGGTAATGCTGGGTTAAAGGGTTTATTAACTCTTCGGGCATAATTCCAGATTGCTTTCCAAAATGGTTGGATCAGTTCAAGTTCCATCAACAGTGAATTAATGTCCCATTTTTTCCACTTCCCCTCCACCTCTTATCACATTCCCCTTCTATCATTTTAGCCAATCTGATAGATGTAAGTTGATATCTCAAAGCTGTTTTAATTTTTATTTCTCTAATAAATAGTGATATAGAGCATTTTTTTCATATGACTATAAATTGTTTTGATTTCTTCATGGGAAAACTGCCTGTTCATATCATTTGATCATTTATCAATTGGGGAATGACTAGTATTCATATAGATTATATACATATATTTAAGTTTTTAGGCCTAATATATGGTCAGTCTTTGTAAAGGTATCATGTACCACTGAGAAAAAGTTTTATCCCTTTTTATTCTCGTTCAATTCTCTCCAGATATCTATCATGTCTAACTTATTTAAGATTCTATTTACCTCCTTAACTTGTTTCTTATTTTTTTTTGTTAGATTTGTCTAATTCTGAGAGGGAAAAAAGTCTTCCACTATTATAGTATTACTATATATTTCTACCTGTAATTCATTTAACTTTTCCTTTAAAAATTTAGATGCTATAGCATTTGATGCATATAGATTTAGTATTAATATTGCTTCATTTTCTTTGGTACCTTTTATTATAATGTAGTTTTACTGTTTATTTCTTTTAATTAAATCTATTTTAGCTTTAAGTCTATCTGAGATCATGTTTACCTTCTGATTTTAGCTGCATTGATTATGTAAAAAACTTTTAAAATTATGTTATCAAAATTTTCCATTTTATCTTCTATGATCATTTCAACACCTTGTTTGGTCCTGATTTCTTCTTCTGTTGATAGATCTGAAATGCAGTTTCTTCCTTGCTTTTCTAATTTGTTTATGATAACACCCTTAATGTCTGCCATGAAACCATCTACTTCTTCTTTTGGCACATGATGTGAGACCTTAGTCTATGTCTAGCTTCTACCAGAATGCTTTCCAGTTTTCCAGCAGTTTTTGTTTAAGCAGCATTCTTAACCCATTAGCTAGGGTTTTTAGGTTTATCAAATACAAGGCAACTAAGTTCATTTGCTTCTGTATACTGTGTTCCATGGATTAACATCTTTACTTTTTAACCAATATCAAATGTTTTGAAGATATCTGCTTTATAATACAATTTGAGATATGATACTGCAAGGCCTCCATTTCCCCCAATTTTCTTTTCCTTTATTTGTCTTGGGATTCTTGAACTTTTGTCCCTCAAGATGAATTTCATTATTACTTTTTTTTCTAGCTCTGTAAATTAACCTTTTGGTAGTTTTATTAGCATAGCACTGAATAAATAAGTTAATTAGATAATGTTGATGTTTTTATTACATTGGTCCTCCCTATCCATGAGCAAGTAATATTTCTCTACTTACTTAGATTATTTTGTAGTTGTATTCACATAGTCCCTGTATGTGTCTTGGTAGGTAGATTCTCAAGTATTTTATCCAAGTTGTTAATTTTTTAAAAATGTTAAACAGTACAAAACCAAGCACAGATTCTTGGGGATATCCCCTGGAGACCTCCTGCCACTTTGACATCAAACCTTTACAACTATTCAAGTCTAGCCATCCAACTAGCTCTGAGTTTATTTAATTGTATTATTGTCTAATCTTTATAGCTCCATCTTTTCCATAAGAATAATATATCTTATCAAAGGCTTTGCTAAAGTTTAGGTAAACTGTTTCCAAAGCATTCCCCTCATCTACCAGTTTAGTAATCCTGTCCAAAAAAGGAAATGAGGTTAGTTTTGCATGACCTATTCTTGATGGTACCATGCTGGTTCTTTGTAATCAACATTTTCCTTTCCAGATGTTCACCAACCATATCATTAAATATCTAATCTAGATTTTTTTCAGCCAAGCTCACTGATCTGATATTTGTAGACTCTATTTTCTTTCCTTTTTGGAAAATAGGATTAATATTTGATCTTCTATATTCTTGTGATGTCTATCCCAGTTTATAATCTTTCAGAAACCACTGAGTTTGGCTCAGTCAGTAACCACTCCTGCCAGTTCTTTTAGTGTCTGAGATCGTAGTTCATCTAGTGGAAATTTACTAGTTTTCAATTATTGAAATGCATCAGATAATGGAGGATTGATGACCATTTGGGGGAGTTCCATTAGGAGGGATTTCTCATTCCTTGTTGAACTAGATGATAGTTGAACTAGATGGTAAATGAACGTTGAACTAGATGGTAGATGAACTAGATGAATTCTCCAGCCTCTTCTGTCATATCTAGGAGAAACCTTGTCTATGAGGCCCTCTTCTGTTGACGGATAACTCTCTCCCAGGATCTGCCATTTTAGGAGAGACCCAGCCCTACTTAACCTCACTTACACTTGGAGACTCTCTCCAGGCTCTTCCTCCTCCTTGCCTGCTACATTGCACCTACAGTTACTCTTCTACTCCCTTCCCTCCCTCTCCCCCACTACAGAAGAGCTCTTTTCTAGTTCTCCTTTATGTTTTGTCTTTCCCTCATTAAAACATAAGCTTTTTGAGGGTAGGGACTGTTTTGTTCACTTATATTTGCATTGCCACTGCTTAGCACAGAAACTGGAACATAGCATATGCTTAATAAATGCAAATTCTGTATATGTTTTCAGATTGGATTAGATGACCACTGAGATCCTTTGGAATTTTGATTCTAATTGGGTCTTACCCTCGAGTTGTTTGCAAGCTTATATGAGGGATGCCTTAGTAATATGAAATTAACCAGAAAAGAAGATAATACATAATCAAATGTTATAAAAAATAATGGTCTGGACTAAATGATTTCTAAGGTCCATTCTAGCTTGAACATTCAATGAATCTGTAATTCACAACACAATTTGCATGTGCTTTAGGAGTTTAGGTGAAGAAGCCTAGTGTAAGCTGGAGTAGTCAGAGAAAGTTTTATGCAGGAGATGATATTTGAACTGGGGTTTGTAGAAATGGTTTTAGTGGAGAGGAGAAAGAAAAAGCACTCTGCCAGCTGAGAGAAAAGGAAGAGTGGTAGAGATAAAATTGAATTTAGCAATTGCTATTAAAGAATAATAAAATATATGGATACAACTCATTAAATTTCATTTTAAAGCTTTTCACAATCA